GTTTTTTTTTCTTAGTTTATTGTCAAGTTGGTTTCCATATAACACCCAGTGCTCATCCCAACAAGTGCCCTCCTCCATGCCCATCTCCCCCTTCCCCTCCCTCCACCCATCAGTCCTTGGTTTGTTCTCAGCATTCAAGAGTCTCTCATGGTTTGCCTCCCTCCCTCTCCCCCACTATTTTCCCCCTTCTCCCCCACGGTCCTCCGTTAAGTTCCTCTTAATCCTCCTGTACGTGCAAACATATGGTATCTGTCCTTCCCTGCCTGACAGAGAGAGAGACAGACAGACAAAGGACGAACAGGGGGAAGGGCATAGAAAGGAGACACAGAATCTGAAGCAGCTCCAGGCTCTGAGCTGTCAGCACAGAGCCCGACGTGAGGCTTGAACTCACAAACTGTGAGATCATGACCTGAGCTGAAGTTGGACATTTAACTGACTGAGCCACCCAGGGGCCCTTGGAGGGATATTTTACTGAAAATATCGCCTGTATAGAAGAAACATTTATATGAATTCAGCAATTCCATTAGCTTCCCTTTCTTTTTCTTTCGTTAAGTTCAAGTAAAATTAAATAAATATAGTGTCCAAAATAGGATTATTCTGATTTTATAAAAGCCTTTCCACCCATCTGTTCCTCACCCTTCCTTCTGTTTGTGTATTTGCATTGAAGTTGCCCAAAATGGCATTCACCTAATGCTAATGGTTATTTTTGGCTGGTGGGATTGGGGTTGCTTCTTTACTTCCATCTTGGGGATTTTCAGCATGTTTTGAAGTCTTTACAATGAGTGGGTATCAATTTTTTAATGTGATTTTTTTTCTCAAAAAGTAAAATGGAAAGAAAGCATTAAGATTGCTAACCAGAATTAATTCTGGAACCTGAGTACTGAAGCCACAGATGATCGCTATTTTTCTTTCTAATTTCTTTTCTTTGTTTTGTTTTCTTCTTTCTTTCTTTCTTTCTTTCTTTCTTTCTTTCTTTCTTTCTTTCTTTCTTTTTTCCTTCCTTCCTTCCTTCCTTCCTCCCTCTTTCTTTCTTTCTTTCTTTCTTTCTTTCTTTTTCTTTCTTTTTTGAGAGAGAGAAAGAGAGCAAGCATGAATTGGGGAGGAGCAGAAAGAGGAGATACAGAATCCAAAGCAGGCTCCAGGCTTTGAGCTGTCAGCACAGAGCCCCATGTGGGGCTCGAACTCACGCACTGTGAGATCATGACCTGAGCCAAAGTTGGACACTTAACCAACTGAGCCACAAGGTGCCTCTTTTTCTAATTTCTAAAAGCAAGGGGAAACAATTTTACTTTTTAAATGAAGGGAAGGGTGCTTCCTTCCCTTCCTAAGGAGTGGCTTACTTAAGCTTCTGACTCTTGATTTCAGCTCAGGTCATGATCTCATGGTTTGTAGGTTAGAGCCCTACATTGGGCTCTGTGCTGACAGTGCAGAACTTGCTTGGGATTCTCTCTCCTCTCTCCACCCCTCCCTTGTTTGTGTATGTTCACTCTCCCTCCCCCCCCCAAAAAAAATAAATAAATAGGGCCGCCTGGGTGGCTCAGTTGGTTATGCGTCCAACTTCAGCTCAGGTCATGATCCCATTGTCCATGGATTTGAGTCTCAAGTCAGGCTCCATTCTGACAGCTCAGAGCCTGGAGCCTGCTTCAGATTCTGTGTCTGCATCTCTTTCTGCCCCTCCCTTGCTCATGCCCCCCCTCCCCCCTCTCAAAAATAAGCAAGTTTTAACAAAAAATCTTAAATAAATAAATAAACATTAAAAAAATAAAATGAAGGGAAAAAGAAGTCACCGAGATTGTGAATCAAAAGGAGCTGACAGAACAGCTCAACAAATATTTCTTTAACAACCTGATGCCAAGGTCCAATGTACAGTGTCATAACCTTGGGTTTTCAGCCACTACTTTCTCTTACACTGTCCCTGTAATTATTATATGCTACCACTAGGTGGCAGTAGACACACCAGTATTCTGGGTTTTGCACTCTGTCCAAGTCTTGAGATCAGACCAGTTCAAGCCACCCATTACAGTTTTATAAGTTCTCATTAATGACATTTTTTTGGTTATATATATCTATATGCATATATCTTTATATATCTCTATATATTCATCTGCATCTATATCTAGATAGATAGATAGTATGTGTGTGTATGTACACACACACACACACACACACACACGTATGCATTTTATGCATTTTAGGATTGGGAATATTACAATCAAGGGTCTCAACTGTTTGTCTTCCTCAAATAAAACTTCAGACACAAGTCAAAGAAGGGCCTAAAGCAAACCCCATGATGCCTCTGCACATGAGACAGGGTGGCCTGGAGGCAAAGCACCCAGCTTTGGAACCAAACAGATATGAGTCCAAATCCTGGATTCATCACTCATTTGCTTCATCATCTTAGCCAAATTACTGGAGCTTTTTTTGGCCTCAGTATCCTTACCTGTATGGTGGAGATCTAACGGAACTTGAATCAGGATTGTTGTAAGAGTTGAGTGAAATGTGTAGTTAAAGAAATGAGAATAGAAAAGTTGTTCTTCCTGCTGCCATTTCTACCTAGCCATCCCTGAAGACCCAGTTCAAAGGTCCCCTCCTCAGCGAGGCCCCCATTAACTGTCTAGCAGCAATTAGTTGCTGGCTCCTCTGTCCTATATTCTAATCCTTAACCCATTAGGTCACCAAGTTTTGCTTTATAGCTTTTGAGGCTGTTTTCAGGTGAATGCAAATTTAGGAATTCATATCTCACTTTTGGAATGACTTTTTAATTATTCTGAAATGTCCCTTTTTAACTCCTAAAGCCAATACTGATAACATAATGAAGCCTGCTCATCTTTTAATATTAGCCTAACTGCATCACCTTCGTTCCTTTCTTTTTTCTGTGTTGTGTATGTTTTTTTTTTGACTTTATTTTATTTTATTTTATTTATTTATTTTTTTTACAAATAGTTTATTGTCAAATTAGTTTCTACATAACACTCAGTGCTCTGTGTTGTGTATGTTTTAATGCCATGTTTTTTCTTTCCTTTACTTTCCATTTTCCTGTGTCTTTAAATTTACAGTGTGTCTCTTAAAAGTAGCATATAGTTGTTGTTGTGGTTTTTCCAATCCAATCTGGCAATCGTCTTTTCATTGGAATATTTAATCCATTTACATTCATTGCAATTATTGATCTATTTGAGTTTAAATTTACCATATTCCTGTTTATTTCATATTTGTCCCATCTGTTCTTTGTTCTCTTTTTCTCCTTTCTTGCCTTTTGACTTGATTATCTGAATACCTTAACTATTTCCTTTTCCTTCTTATAGGTTGTTAATTATGCATTCTATCATTCATCTTTTAGTAGTTGCAGGAATTACAACATGCATCCTTGACTTTTTAGGCTTTACTGTAATTTTTTAACTTGTCCCTTCCTGGATAATAAAAGGATCTTTTTTTAATGTTTCTTTTTTTTTTTAATTTTTAAATGTTTAATTATTTTTGAGAGAGAGAGAGATACAGAAAACAAGCAGAGGCAGAGCAGAGAAGGAGACACAGAATCCCAAGCAGGCTCCAGGCTCAGGGCTGTCTGCACAGAGCCGGACACGGGGCTTGAACTCACAGACCATGAGATCATGACCTGAGCCAAAGTTGCATGCTTAACTGACTGAGCCACCCAGGTGGCCCTAAATGTTTCTTTTATTTTTTAATGTTTATTTATTTGTGAGAAAGAGAGAGCAAGGGAGGAGGGGCAGAGAGATGGGGACAGAAGTTTCAAACTAGGCTCTATGCTGACAGCAAAGAGCCCAATGTGGGGCTTGAACTCACAAACTATCACCTCATGATGTGAGGTGAAGTCGGACGCTTAACTGACTGAGCCACCCAGGTGCCCTGGATCTTATATTTTAGCTCCATAAACCGCTTCTCTGGCTTTTGCACTACTTTTATTTTTATTCTACATGAGTTTTAAATCCATAAAAAATGATTATTATTTCAAACTGTCAATATTTATGTAGTTTATTAACTTATTTGCTTATCCATTCTAGCACTTTTTATTCCTTCATCAGGAATACTTTTCTTCGATCTGATTACCTACCTCCAGTATTTCTTTAATGTGGGTCTGCTGGTGACTAATTCTGACAGCTTTTATTGACCTGAAAACATCTCTATTTCCTGTTCATTTTTGAAATATATTTAGCCTACTCTGATAAGATTTTCTCTTTGAGTCTGTTTTTTGCTAGTTTGACAATGATGGGCCCAGATGTGATCTTTTCTTTTATTCTTCTTGATTGGGATTCTTAGAATTTCTTGAATGTGTGGCTTGATGTCTTTTGTCGATTTGGAAATGCTCAGATGTTATATCTCAAGTGTTACTTTTGGCTTCCCCTGCATGCACACTGTCTCCCTTCATCTGGCTCCCCGCTCCACCTCCCAACCACTCACCTCCCGCTGGCTGGGTGGACACAGACGGCTGCATGCCCTCTCCAAACCTCCCTCCCCTCTGCCCGAGTGTTGTCCTGGACGCTGCCAGGCTCCCCTGGGAAGTGTGAACTCTGTATACCTGGTTTCTGATCTTTATCTTCCTCTTCTTCCTTCCTGGTTTGCAAGCCCAAAGCCTGGAGATGGAGCCACCCTCCAAAGATGCTAAAGCAGGAAGCTAGCAGATGCCTCTTCCAGGACCACCTTCCCTGGTGGCTGCTGCAGCCCTGGGCCACCTCCTCCAGGCTTCTTCTTTTGTGAGAAGGATAAACCCCCACTGGTTAAGCCACTGTGGTTGGCTGCTGATACACACAGTGACAGAAATCCTGGTTGGCACAAAGAGCAGTCCATGGGACACCTCCTCCAGCAAGCTTGCCTGGATTCCCCTGTCAGATGCATTCCGGGGTTTTGTGTGCTCACCCTGGGCAGGCCGTGTCCTCACCGCAGCCGAAGGCCACCCACCTGTCCATCACCCGCAGAGGGACACACACCTCCTGGGCAGCGTCCCGCTCGCTCACACGGGGCACCCCCCTTCTCTCTGAGCCCAGTGCGGCCCGGACGCTTCCGCACCACGTGCGAGAAAGAGCAGAGCTTTGAACCGGAGCTCAAGTCCAGGTCCCAGGTACCGCGTCCCAGTGCCAGGCCCTCGGCCGCCTTTTCCAGCTGCTTGTTCTCCAGCTGCTGGTGGTGACACGCAGGCCAGGTGACGATCTGGGAAAGATGTGGGCCCAGAACAGCCCTGCCTGACAAACAGGGTCGTCCACTCCCGCGCCGCCTACGTCTGGTGAGGGCTGTGCAGCCGGGGCCATGCTCCTGCCGACCCGCAGCAGGGCACACGCCACACACACCTCACATATCTACACACATACACCTCACACATATACACACGTGCACAAGCCATACACCATACATATACACACAGTGCACAACCATACACGCCACACACACAGGGCATGAAAATACGTCTTAAGCCAAAGCAACTTGAACTTCCTTTGGAAGCCGCCCAAACCGACCTTAACCACAAGACGGTTCATGCTCGATGACACGGTGCTGAGTTGAGAACTCGTAGGGCTCCTCTGGGCTGTTTTCTTTGGGCCAAACATAGTGTCATCACGTCGTATATTAGCCTTTGGAACCCGCTTCCTCCCCTGAGGCTCGGGGAGGCCTCTCTATAGTCCATCGAGCGAGGGACTCGGGACCAAAGGACTCCCGGGCCAGACTGAACGGCTTGGGCTCGGGAGGGGGACTCTGTCTCTCTGTCTCTCTGTCTCTCTGTCTCTCTCTCTGTGCCCAGGGCCCAGCAGGAGCTTGAAAACCAGGCCTGGCTTAGGCAGGCTCCAGGAGGGCTCATCCTGGCAGCAAGGGTCAGTGCCCAGGCCACCGGCCCTGGAGACACAGTCCCTGACCCACTCGGTGTGTTGGGCCCGGAGCGCAGGGCGCTGGAACCACAGGGAAGGAAAGGACAAGGTGCAAACAGGGGCCTTTGGTGCCTTCAGCTGGTGATCGGGTTCCCGCCCCAGCTGGTACCCGCTGCTGAGTAGCTTCGGCCACAACCTCACCAGCTGGAGGCCCCTCGAGACCTTTCTTTAATATGTGAATTATGCTCCCACCAGGGGCAGCCAGATCCGCAGGAGGGCCTGTGTCCGTGTGTCTGTCTCCCTTCTGTCTGCTTCATCTCTGCTTCTCTTCCTGTGTGTATCTGTCTGTCTCCCTGTCTCTCTCTGTGACTCATGGTGCAGGCTCCCGTCTCTCTATTTCTCTCCATCTCTGTGTCTGCGTCTGCTTCTCCCTCCCAGCCAGCAGCTGCCCTTCTGGGCACTTACCCTGAAGAACTGAAAGCAGAGCCTGGAAGGGGCGTGTTCACAGCCGTGTTCACCGCAGGTGGAAGGAGCAGCGCCTGGGCGTCTGCAGGCGGACCGAGGTTCAAGTGCGGCACGTCCACTGGGTAGACGATCCCTCAGCCCCAACAAGGAAGGAAAGTCTGACCCCTGTTAACACACGGACAAGCCTCGGGGCACCTGGGTGGCTCAGTGGGTTGAGCGTCCGACTCTTGATTTTGGCTCAGGTCATGGTCTCACGCTTCGTGGGATGGAGCCCCGAGCCGGGCTCTGCTGACACCGTGAAGCCTGCTTGGGATTCTCTCTCTTCTCTATCTCTCTCACTCTCCCTCCCTCCCTCTCTGCCCCACCCCCACTTCTGCGCACATTCTTAAATAAATAAAAAGAAAACATGGCTGGGCCTCGGGGCTGCTGTGCTGGTGGGGTCAGCCCGGCACAGGGGACTCCCCTGCAGGACTCCCCTCCCGCGAGGGGCCCGCATCTTCGCGCTCAGGGACAGAGAGGGCAGTGGGGCCGGCGGCTGGGAGTGGGGTGTCCATGTGTCACGGGGCAGAGTGTCAGTTTGGGGAGAGGAAAGTTCTGGAGGCGGACGGAGGTGGTGGTGGCACACCAGGGAATGTGCTCGGCGCCGTGGAGTTAGGAGGGGACATTGTGCGCCGTTCGTATTCAATCACAGTGGAAGCAAGAATGACCATTTTATTATCTCCCCGTCTCTGTGGGTGTGGAGTCCAGGACGGGCTGGCTGGGTGGCTCTGGGTCGTTCTCAGTGGTCTGGCTGGGGGTCTCTCGCCACACCCTTATCTCCTTGAGGGCAGGAGCCCAGACAGTTATCTCAGGGCCCCCAGCAAATGTTTGTTGACTGACTAACTGCTGGCTGCTTCCGCAACGCATTCCTGGCCCAGGGCGTCAGGGAGACATGGGACCCTGGGCCGCCGGGCATGCCGGGCATGCCGAAGGAAAGCCAGGGCCTTGGGAGCAGCTCGGAGCCTTGGCCCGATGCCAAGAAGGAAGTGCCAAACAATAGCCCGTGAGAAGCTGTCCCTCTCGCAGTCAGATTTGCACTTCCGTGGACAAAGGAGGTTTCCTCTGTAGGAAGTGATACCCAAGGGAGGGCTTCCTGCAGAGGAAGCTGGAGGGGGGCTGGGGAGGACAAGGGGAGGGGGAGGGGGCCCCGGACCACCCCTGCCCCCGGGGACCAAAGGCCATGCTGGTGGCCACCTCCCCGGCCACTGAGGACTCACTTTCCTGCGTGAAGCACTGACTTCCACTCAAGCCAGCTCCCCGTTTACTGCGCTGTGACCCTGGGCGCATGCCACTGGCTTCCCTCTCTGCAAAAGGGGGACATATGTGATTCAGTGGCCGCTGTGCATGGCATTGCCAGTGGCCCTGGCCCGGGCCTGCCCTCACGCCTCCTTGCTGTCCAGGGGAGCACAAACAGAAGTGAGCAAATAAGAGTTACAGAATCCCAACGTGGGGAATTGAAAACGTGGGTTAATCTTGCTCCTCTCCCCTCTCCCCTGTCTTCTGAATCATGTAAGAAATAGAGAGGAGGCAGCTAAGGACCAAAGAGTTGGCTCCATCGCTGGAAAGTGGAAATGAGAGGCTGATGAAGAAGCTGTGAGTCAGAAGCAGATGGGCCCAGGGCTTCCTTCCACATTCGTGTGATCGCCCCGGGAGGGAGAGCTGGCCCGGGGAGCCACGGGCAGGCTGGGCCAGAGGGAGCTGGCCTCGGACGGGGTCCTGCTGCCCGGGGTGCGGGGTGCGGGGTGGGATGCTGGGACCCAACAGTGGGGTCACTTATTTCCACGGAACCGTGGGGGTCAGGGGCTGGGGCAGGCAAGCAGTCTGGTCACTGGGCGGGTGGCCGTATAGCAAGACACAGGGGTGGGCGTGGGGGCTTCTGCAGGGAGAGTGCCTGGAGTGGGGAGGATCCTCGCTGAAGGCTCGGCTGCCCGGCTAGGATGGCAGAAAGGAGGAGGCCCTGAGCTCGCCCGGCCACACTGAGGGCGGCGCGCAGGGAGCTAGTGACTTTGTGAGCTAGTGCCTCGTGGTCGAAGCTGCCACTGGGGAGTCCCCCAGAGGTGCCAGCAGAGGGCCAGCCGCCTCTGCCTGCAGCAAGGACAAGGGACGGCTGCAAGGGAACAGGGAGGGGAGGAGGGAAGGTGGGGGGAGCCTAGGATTGCAGGGAGGGAGGCAGAGAGGAGAGCAGGAAGCAGAGCGGAGGCGTGGCCCGGGTTCCTGCACATCTGCTGTGTGGGGGTGCTGAGCTGGGCTCACGATGCACCCCTGAGCTTGTGCTGCATAGACAGAAGAAAGGGGAGCAGGGAGCTCTCGGGGCAGGCAGCCGTGCCGTCGGCGGGCCCCCCGATGGGTGCTCCTTGGGTGGGGGCTGCTGCTGTGAGGACCCCGGAGCCCCCTGCCCCCAGCCCCTCTGCTTCACGGCCTCACTTCTTCTCACCACCCCCACCCCTGTCCATGACGCTGGGTCCCCACGTGCAGTGGGCAGCACACTGTCCCGAAGGAGGCATGTTCAAGTCCTAACCCCAGGTCTGTGATTGTGACCTTACTGGCAGAGGTGAGTGAAGAAGGGAAGGGTCCTGAGATGAGGTCATCATACGCAGGTTCAGACTTACATCCAATGGCAGGTGTCCTCATGAGAAGACGGGACACGGGAAGGGCCACTGGGCAATGGAGGCAGAGGCTGGAGGGGAGCAGCCACACGCCAAGGGCGCCAGGAGCCCCCAGACGCTGGGAGATGCAGGAAAGATCCTCCCCCGGCGCCTCGAGAGGACATCGTGTCCACACCGTGACGTTGGACGTCTTGCCCGCAGGACCGTGGGGGGTCCATTCCTGCTGTGTCAGGCCGCCCAGCTGGCGGGACAGCAAGGGCCACTCCAGAGTCTGGACAAGCCACGGAGGGACCACGTCGCGGGTCCCACTGACCCCATGAGCCACTTCCTTCCCTCCACATGTTGCCGCCTCTGGAGAAGTCGAAGGAGCCTGGGAGGCCGGGGTGCAGGCTTTGGAAGGTAGAGAAGTGGCCAGCAGGAGCGGAGCCGCGCGCCAGGCCTTTTCTGGGCCACTGCCTTCCAACCTGCTGTCTCGAGGGGAAGCAATCTCTGCGAAAGTGCGAGAGTGCGGTCTGTGGTCCGCGGTCAGCGCAGAGAGGAAGTGGGGAAGTATGAGCCGCCAACCGCCTGTGAGCCGGGGAGTCGGCGCCCTCTGGGGCGCGCCCCTGTGCACCTATGCCGCCAGCTTGGCTTTTTCTAGCAAAGCTAACAGCCATGGTGTCAGTGAGGCCTCAGGGCCCCCTTGCTCCACAGCACTGGCCGCTTCTAAAGCCCTGCACCTGTCTTTGTACCCTCTTCCTTACAGGGGCCCCTCCCCAAATTATAAAGGCATGGGGGGGGTCCCACGAGGCCAGGATCCCTCCCTGCTGATGCCAGGGCAGAGCGCACAGCACACGGCCCGCGCACAGCCGGTTGTGTTGAGGCTGCCTGGGTTTTCTGTCAGCTGACCGGCTGGCCGGCCAGCTCCCCATGCATTCAGGCAGCCGACATCACTGTGTCCGGGCCGTGGCTGCAATCCTTGCTCTCAGTGCTCAGGCTTAGTGGTGGGGGAACAGGGTACAAGGAAAAACAGGAAGCAGTGATGCCAGCTGCAGCACGTGGGGCGCGAAGAAGGAGGGGCTGGAAGACGCTGTGCAGAGAAAGGCTGACCCCAGAGACAGCCCTGACCCACAATGGCTCAACTTACGACGTTTGCCTTTATGATGGTGCGAAAGCTGTATACATTTGGTAGAAACAGTACTTGGAATTTTTGATTTTAATCTTTTCCAGGGCTGGGGCATGGGGTACGAGCCTCTCCCCGGTCCTACCTGGTGACGCAGAGTGGTGGTCACGGCCACGGTTCCTATCGGCCAGCGATCTCGAGGGCCGCAACCATTCTGTACCCACACAGCCTTTCTGGCACTTCCAACACAGTAAGCAATGAATTCCATGAGAAGGCCAACACTTGATTATAAAACAGGCTTTGTGTTAGACGGTTTTGCCCACCAGTATGCTCATATGAGTGCTGTGAGCACGTTTAAGGTGGGCTTGGCTTATGGTGGTCGCTAGGTTGGCTGTGTTACATGCGTTTCTGACTTATGATGTTTTCAACCTAGATGAGTTTATTGGGACATAACCTCGTAGTGAGTTGAGGAAGATCTATACCCTAGAAACCATCACAGCCCCACCAAGGAGATGACTTCTGGGCTGGGTTTTTTTTTTTTTTTTTTTTTTTTTAAAAATGTTTGTTTATTTTTGAGAGAGAAAGAGAGACAGAGCACGAGTGGGGGAGGGACAGGGCAGAGAGTGAGGGAGACACAGAACCCGAAGCAGCTCCAGGCTCTGAGCTGTCAGCACTCAGTGCTCCGCACTGCGCCGCCCCCCAGGCGCTCCCTCTGGTCTGGGGTTTTTAAGGATGAGCAGGAGTTTGCCAGCAGACAAGGGGAGGGGAGCTGAGGCAGAGGGAGGTGTAGGTATAGATGTGGGACAGCCCAGGTGGCCCGGCCACCCACGGGTGACAGCCCGCCTGGCCTGCAGGGCTGCTAAAGAGAGAGGGGAGGGCCTGGCCCGGGCGATGGGGAGGCTTGGGTAGGGGAGGAAACAGGCGTGAGGGTCCTCCAGGCATGTGTCCGCTTCCCGGCGCTGTCGTAACTAAGTCCTGTGAACTTGACGGCTTCAAACAGCAGAAGCCTATTGTCTCCCAGCTTGGGAGGCCAGACGTCTGAAATGCAGGTGTGGGCAGGGTCGGGCTCCCTGAAAGGCTCTGGACGGAGTACTTCCTCTCCTCTGCCAGCTTCCGGCTGTGGCGCTGATACCTGGGGCCCGTTGGTGTGTGGCCACGTCCCTCCAGTCTCTGTCCCCGAGCCTCACGGAGCTCTCCCTGTGGGTCTGTGTCCCTTCTCCCCTCGTTATAAGCACACCAGACGTACTTGGTGAGGTTCCACCCAAATGAAATAACCTGATAATATCTACAGACACTATTTCCAAATAAGGTCGTATCCACAGGTACCTGGGGGCAGGGTTTCAACAAATCTTTCTGGGGGCACAATTCAAACAACAGGACTTTCCACTGGTTAGGTGCCATAGACTGAATTGTGCCCCCTCCAAATTCATGTATTGAAACCCTAACCCCCTCCTCCCATGTGACTGTATTGGAGACAGAGACCTTAAGGAGGTCATAAGGGTCAAGCCCTGACTCCATAGAAACAGATGTCCTTATGGGGCGCCTGGGGGGCTCAGTCGGTTGAGCATCCGACTTCGGCTCAGGTCATGATCTCATGGTTCTTGGGTTCAAGCCCCATTCTCTCTGCTGAGAATGCAGAGCCTGGAGCCTGCTTTGGATTCTCTTTCTCTCTCTCTCTCTTTGCCCCTCCCCTGTTCATGCTCTGTCAATCTCTGTCTCTCAAAACTAGATAAACATTAAATTAAAAAAAAATTTTTTTTAAAAAGAGCAGATGTCCTTACCAGGAGAGGAAGAGACCCCGGAGCTCTCTCTCCCCACCAGATGAGGACACAGTGGAAGGTAGCTGTCTGCAAGCCAGGAAGAGGCACCCATCGGTCCCTGAACGCCGTCAACCTTGAGCTTGGATTTTCCAGCCTCCAGAACTGTGAGAAATGAAACTCTGCTGTTGAAGACAATGGGGCTGGAGGAAACCCTACCCCACACGTGCCGCAGCTCGGTGGCCTGGCCAGAAACCCAGTGCCAGAGATGTACTGGGCACAGCTCAGGGCTTCTAGGAGCTTGGGGCCAGGCCAGGAGGCGGGAGGGAGCCCCAGGCCAGCCAGGCCGCCGTGAACATGTCTCGGGTACATGGAGTTAGGACTAGGAAGCTGCCCTAGAGGAGCCAGGCAGAGACCCAAGCAACAGAGCAGGATCACCTGCTATCACCTGACCAGCAGCCCCCAGCGCCCCACCCCCCCAAGCCAGACCTCTCTCCCCAGGTCCTGGCCCGCAGTCAGGCTGCCTTGACCCCTTAGTGGAGGTCGAGAGTTCATGCTCTGACTCTTTATTTTTTTTTATTTAATATTTTTATTTATTTCTAGGAGAGAGAGAGAGAGAGAGACAGCGTGAGCAGGGGAGGGTCAGAGAGAGAGGGAG